AAAAAAAGTGTTGGCATGCATTTTCAAGAAATCCATATTTATCTTATATTTGTCAAATGCATGTGAGCCATTWAGAGATTGGAGTGTATTCAAAACATCACTCTGTGAAATTTCAGAAAATTAAAATTGCTTTGAAGTGTCAGGATATTTAAATAACTTTAAACTATTAGCTTGTCCGGGTAATGATGTCCTTACTGAAGAAATAAAATATTCATTAAATAAGTTATGATTTTTTTTATTTCTGTGTCATTTAAATGAAATATCTAATAATAGAGTCATTTTAAAGTGACATTTCCTCAAATACTTATCAATTGTAAATCATAAATCAATCACAAAGAAAAGAGTAATGGTTAGCCAAACATAGGCCCATTTTCAAACAAGTGTTTCATAAGAAAAGAGAAACAAACTGAGCAAACAGTGTTTTAGGTTTATTTTTACCTAATGTGGCATTCACTCACTGAAGTCTGTCGTTTGTTTTATTATAATTTAGAAAATTTGACAGAAATTCTCAGCTACTAAATGTGTTATTTTGCAACTTAAGCTGGTTTTAGTCTGAGACACTGGGAGGTGGTGGGCAGTACTTCTAGGAATGCTAGGCCTTTATTTTAACAGGTTCAGTGAGCCAAAGATTTCAGAGGACATTAGTTCTCATCCTTTACTTCCAGCCTTCTACTCTGTTTTACCTCCTGTTCACTCAGCAGCAGGTCTGACTGAGGTCAGGAGCTGAACCGGCAGCAAAACTGCAACCACAGCAAGCAGCTGAAGGTGAACAGTAATGAACTCCTGTCCTCAGTGAGACACAAACTGTCTTACTTCAACTGTCCAGTGCTTTTATCTTCTTTAACTGTCCGGTAACATTCAGCCTACTTCAGCTGTCCGGTGCGTTTATCTCATTTAGCTGTTCAGTGTTTTTAACTGCCCTGAGGAGCCCTTTGGGTCCACTGCTGACCGTTAGTCTGAGATCTTTTTAAAACACTGAGCTCAGAGATAAGGAGGAAGTGGTTGCATTTTTTACTGATGGGTGTTAATCAGCTGTTACACAGATGTGGGAAATATCTGGGTGGATGTTCCTGGACCAGGATCTGCTTTGTGTCACCAGACAGACAGAGACGACAGGACTGAAACAGAATGTGAAAGAGATGCAGACTTCCTTATGAAGATATTGGCTAAAATCTGCTGTCAGCACTTTATTGGTTTTAAAGGCCAGTGTTAATTTAACACCCACAGTGTTAATTTCAACACCAACAAAGTGTCTAAATGTGTCCACACTCGCTGGTGTTAAAATAACATTTGTGAAAGTGTTCAATTTTAACATCCATTTTTTTGTTGATTTAACATCAAGCAGTGTTAAATATTCAACAATTCTTTGTGTCACATTAACATAAAATTAGTGTTAGTGTTAAAATATAGTGTTAACAGTGAAACCAGCCAGTGTTAAATATTTAACAATACTGGGTGTCATTTTAACATTTCAACAGTGTTAAAATAAAGTGTTAAATGTATCACCAGCGTATTATTATTAACATGGGAAATTGTGGTGTTTTAAATATTAACAGACACCACAAGGTGTCAATACACCATCAAGTTGAGAGTGTAAATTTAAGACTCAGAGTTAATATCAAACCCTCTGTAGTGTTGTAGTAACACTGCTCAGTAGTTAGTAGTAAAGTATAATGGAGTCACTCTTCACACACCAGGAAGTACCTCTCACTCATGGTGTCAATTTTTGGCCAATAACATAAACTTAAAGTTAAACAACTTGATCAAACTGAACAAGAAAACAAACCAGAACGACTAATTTTTACTCTCATAAACTTCTTTAATGGTCATAAACACGCAAAAACATCATTTCTGCAAGATTTCTCAGCAAGGAATGCTGGGTAAATACTGGTCTGTCTGACAAAACTTCTTTCAACATTGCGTGGTGTTATATAGCTACACTGTTAAGTGTTATATAAGACTTAACTGTGGGCGGAGCTTGTTTAACACTGTCCAGTGTTGAGACAACACTGAGGAAATCAACACTGTGAATTAACACCAACACTGGGTGTGAGTGTACTCAGAAAGTGTTAAAATAACACTAGGAGGTGTTAAATCAACACCCAAAAGTTTAACACTGAAATTTTAACACTCCTGTTTTTGCTGTGTACTGATCATGAACCACAAATTTTAATAAAAACTCTCAGAAAATGATAAGTCAATTGAATTTAATTCAATTTAAGATGGCTGCCGCAACCAACCTTTTACAAAACACAGAAAAAAAACATAAAACTCAGATCATTCTGCACAATTTTGCCTAATTTTTGACGTGGTAGTGGTTATGCATCATCCCTGACAGATACTTCAAAAGTAAAAGCATATTTGCTTAAAACCTTTGGATAAACTATTGGAGTCAACCCTGTTTCTTTAAAAATTTTACAGATAACGTGGCATTCCTTCAAGGAATCCTGAGCCTTTATTTGTCACTAAATTCAGGAGTTACACGTGATGCTGGAAATTCTGATCCTGTTTTTCAACTTAGTCTTTGTCTCTTTCTCTGTAGGCCCAATTTGTCAAGTAGCCAACAAGCCCTCTAAGTGGAAAGCTGATCCATCCAAACCACGTTTCAGCATCTTCTTTTCCCTACAAATTCCTACCAGTCTGAAAGAGAGCATTGTGATTTAACCAGAAGCTGCCTACTCCTCCAGTGGAAAAGGGGAAAAAGGGAAGTGGGAGTGCATTTGCTCCAGTCGACTAACCCCGCCACTTGCCCAAAATAGTTTTCCCGCCTGGCTTATCCGGCTCCGACAGACATGTTGCTTTCATGCACTGCATGGAAAACTTGAAATTCTCTCTGTGATTGTGAAGGCCGGAGTGTACGTCATGATGAGTCATTTTGGCAGGTTTTTATTGTGGTTAAAATGGTAACAGATTGTGAGTGTTGGGGAAAAAAAACACAACAGTAATCTGGAGCACAAACATTTAATAAAACTAGGTTAAATTAGTGATGAGACAAAACATTAGTTCACTATAAAAATGTAAAAAAAACATTTGCAAATGAGTCTTTTCAGCAATAACATAAATTTCTTACTACCTACCATCAAGGTTGCCTGCAATAATTAACGCTTATGTTTCTTGCAAGGATCTTACACAATTAGTTTATTTTGAAGTATGTGTAACATCCACATCAAATTTGAGCTCAATGTTTTTAAAAGTGACTGTGTCACGACCATTTTTCTATATTTTAATGGCAGTTGACTGTGGTAGCCGTCTTGAGCGGAGTTGGCTCTAAATGTTAATGAGTTGTAAATATACATTCAGTTAATTTTTCCTGAAAGTTTTATTAAAATCCAGCCATTTAGACAAACTGCAATAAATAATGTAAAGTTTGAAGGACAGATTTAACACAATCAAAAAGTTATTATAGTTTAAATTGGGGGTTCATTCTAATCTGCTACAGCACCAAACCCTTATAAAATATTTATATTACAATATTTGCAAAATTGGATGATTTATGGTCATTTAATTGTATGACCTCAGTCAGACTGACTGCAAATGTTTATCAGTTTATAACTGATGTACATTTAATAGATATATTCTAAAAGTTCTACATCAATTTGTCCATTGACATTTTGGTAATAACAGACGCACACACAGACACACGGACAAAAACATGATTCACATTGTACAGCAGCTGTGGCTGCTTTTGGGGCATCAGAAATTGTAGTTAATGTACCGACTGTAATCAGAGAATTAGCTTTCGTTTCATGAAATATAAACAAAATCAACAGAGTATTTATTGCGCAAATAACCGAATATAAAACAGTTGTGTAACTCGATAAAAACGCAAGCAAAACTACAGAAGAGGAAGACAAAATAAAAAGTCAGTCTTTCAACCAGTTTGTCATCGCGCAGCGAGTTTTCCCACAGCACTTAAAGGCGACAACAAAGGGGCGTGGCTATGTAAATGTGTCTGAATAGATGCTGGTTGTCTGTGAACGGCGGGACACTTGCTGTGGAGAAAAGAAGCTGGAGCACGGAGAGTGAAACCTGCAGAGGACGAACACGAGACACTTTCACTCGACCCACGACAGTCCAGCATGGCTTCAAAGTGTCCCAAGTGCGAAAAGACGGTTTATTTCGGTGAGTAATGTCCGGTTTGAGTGGTACGTTTAGTTGAAATGAACTTGTAGCTGATGATGGTTGTCCCGCTCGTTAGCTGAAACATCCTGTCAGCTTTTATAACAATGGTTTTATCATTTAACCATCATCATTGGTCTATTGAATGTATTTACATATGTTGTGACACAAAATATATGTATATAATGTTGATTAATTTGAATTAAGTTCTGAATCTGAATAAAAAATGAAGCTACATGTATTTTTTAAACAGAATATCTGTTTGACAGGCTGTATTTTTATGTGATGGTGGGAAACGTGAAGTTTCCCCAGATTCCCAAAGGAAGGAATTTCTCACACACATTCACAACATTCCTTGGAATAGGCTCACATTTATTTTAGGCAGAGTCACTGGAAGGTAAATGATTCACACGGAAAACACATTTTGAGAAACACGTGGGTAAACAGACAAAAAGTAAACAAAAGCTTGTAGTTAATGAAAATACTAATTAAAGGCCTATAACAACCGCCAGTGTTTCAGACAAACAGAATAGGTTTTGGGCATGTGTTCTGAATTACTCTCAGCTACTATCCACCTCAAATTTTAGTACAATTAACTGTTAAATTCACTAACCTATTAAATGTTTGTGTTTTTTTTTAGATAATAGGCTGTGGCCGCCATCATGAATTTGGTTGAATCTAAATGTTGACCAGTTGTACCTTCACTGATTATTCCCTGCACGTTTAAATTAAAATCCAGTCCAATGTTTCATGAGACATTTTGCCAACAGACAGAGTTGACTACCAAGAGATGCTGGCAACATTTTAAACCAAAACCTCACACAAACTGAGTGCTTACAGCTCAGAATATGTGTTGGACAATCAGTCTCAGCTACTACCACTAAATCTCTTGTCAATAAAAGCAGAGTTATGGTCATTTATATATATTAGGGCTGTGTATTGGCAAGAATTTGGCGATACGATACATATCATGACAAAGGGGTCACGATATGATATATCCCGATATATTGC